TAGAGTCATTTTGGAAGAGGGAGACTCAATCGAGAACATGCCACCACCAGACTGGCCTGTGGGGGATTTTCTTGGTTAATGGCAGATGCAGGAAAGCTCAGCCCATTGTAGGTGGGGCCACCCCTGAGCTGGTGGCCCTGGGTGCTATAAGAAAGCAGATTGCGAAAACCACAAGGAGCAAGCCAGTAAGCAGCACTCCTCCATGGCCTCTGCGTCAGTTCCTGTCCTGACTTCCCTCAGTGACCTGAGAGTTGTAAGCTGAAATAAACCCTTTCTTTCCCAAGATACTTTGGTCATGGTGTTCTATCACAGCAATAGAAACCCCAACTAAGACACCAATAAATGCCTGGTTTACAAGCCTTGCCTCAGGATCTGGTTTCCAAGGAACTCAGACAGGAACGTATTTGTACACATTATCTTTTCGTTTTAATTTATGTGTATCATTTTTCTTCAACTGGCTACTAAAGTTAGGACACAAATGCTTATTCAACTGTCACCCAGCTACCTAATCAAACATGGTTAGATTCTTCATAAATGTCGCCTTGGAGGTGTCAGGAGAAATACTTAGCAAGACGCCTTGGTGGAGTGAACTGTGAAGGTTTGTGGCTTCCTCCTGTAAAGGTCTAGCTAGTGTAGGGTCCAGAGGTGTGAGTTGGCCCAGCCTGGGTGAGGGACAGATGGTTGGGGTACTGAGTAGAAGAGAAGAAGTCTTAGGGAGATCTGCATGGCCTTACATACTTTGTGAAGACTCCAGGCATCAGTTTGTGGAATTTGATACACACAGCTCCAGAAAAATCTTCATTCCCTCCCTCTTTCCACTCTTCTTCCCTTCTCTCCCCCTCCCCTCCCTCCTTCTCACCTTCCCTCACTCCTCACCCTTGCCTGCCTTAGGTATTTAGTTATAGTAATTTCCCTCCTTTCTCACTCTTTCCTTCTGTCTCTCTTATACACATTTGTAAAAGCTTTATGATTCTTTTTGATCTATAAACAACCGAGATCTTCAATATATGCATGCCTGTGGGGACTGCTTTTTACAAAACACGATCCTGTGTTATTACACAAAAATTCCTGCATACTTATTTCAGGAATAATGGTTGCATTGTCATCTGCCTTGTAGTTTTATAGGCTGGTAAATTTCTAGTCCCAGCACCTTCTCAACTGACTTAGAACAAAGTACACACTTCACATCTTCTTCCCTTTTAAAAGCAAGCCTGGGGCCAGTGAGATGGCTAAGGAGATTTCTGCCAAGCCTGATAGCCTGAGCTTGATTCCTGGAACCCACAAGGTGGAAGAAGAGAATGGATCCCCCCCCCCCCCCCCCCCCGTGGTACACATGAGCATCTGTACATGTACACACACACACACTAAAATAAGGAAGTAAATAAATAAATAAATAAATAAATAAATAAATAAATAAATGTGAAATAATGTGAAAACAAGCTTTTAATATGGAGGACCAAGTTCAATAAGATTTGAATGTTAGTTGCTTCAGCTGAAGGACAATAATAATAGGAAGGTAAGTTATGGAGCATGGAGTGGAGTTCAGTGATGGGCTTACAGTTCTTCTGGGGTCCAGAAACCAATGTTTCCATGTCCCCAGCAATGTTCACATTCTATTTGCAGCCATATCGCTCAGAATCATACACATTTTCAAACAGAATGTCCCTTTCTATGATTGGGATGCTTCTGATCCATGTTGAGGAATTCCATGTCTCGGTCAATAAGAAGGAAAACAGGATGCTGAGTGAACAATTCCAAGTTTGCTTAGTACAGCATCAGAGAAAATAAGTGGTCTATCTTTCCAGTAACTTCTCAGAAGGTCCTCCCATAGAGGAATTAATTTTTCTTATGCTTTAGTTATCTGTGCCTCCCAGATGTCTCTCTGTCTTAATTTAGGGCACATATGCACAGACCAAGATTTAAAAACTCATTTTCTTTTGTTTAGCGGCCCACAGAAACACTCTTTAAATATGCAAATATGCACCCTGATAGGTTGGGCAGGCTTTTCTATTAGCTTGGGAGACAGAATGTCTCCTGTTAGTACATATTGATCGAATTATGCAAAATCTCAAGATTCTAGCTGGGTTTGCTCAACTTTGCTTGAGCTCCCCTGCTTTGCTTTATAGCTTTCTCTTTTTCTGTATGTATATTCACTTTGATATATCTCAATAATTTCTTTCCAAGCATGAGTATGTACGTTGTGTGTATATGTCTATAGATCCTAGTTTTCCCATTAGTGGTAGCATGATGAACATTTTACTTGACCCTTATTTTCTTGTTTAGTTGACACTATTATTGTTGAGATCATTTTATAATAATATAATTTCCCCTGTTTCTCCAAATGGCTCCAGAGAATTTCATTCCTCATAGGTAATTAGTCATATATTAATGTTAATGTAGAATTACTAGGCTGTTTCCACTCTTAAGTATTATGAGAATCCTCACTAACACACCAGAGGGAAAATTTCGAGAAGTGGATTGTTGGGTTAGTTAGGAAATGCTTTTTTTTTTCTCTTGTTTTTGTTTTTGGAGAAATGGTCTTGCTGTGTAAGTCTGGCTGCCTGGAACCTGCTACATAAACAAGATTAACCTATAATTTTCAGACATTCTCCTGCCTCTCTCTAGTAAGTGCTGAGGTTACAGGTGTGAGCCACCAACACCTAGCTTAGGTAATACATTCCATATATTGATAGATGTTAGCAAATTTCCTTAATTTACCTACCCATCATCTTCACCAACACCATCTATTAGCAAATCATTCTAACAAGTGGCATTTTATAGTTCAAACTCGTGTTTCTTTCACAGAAAATCAATTTGAGCGTATTTGGTATGTTCAAAACCAAATAAACTTCTTTCTTGAGAATCAATGATAGCATATGATATGCATGCCTATCATATACTGTATGATCTGCTTATTAATAGAGAGAGGATATAATATAGCCTCAACACACAACTTGGGAGAGACTGACAAGAAACAGTTACTGTGGTCCAAGCTTAACACGATGGAAGTCTATTTATGTACATTCAACACATTCTAGAAGGGTCATCAACGGAGGCTTCTGGGTGGGACAGATATGTAAACGAAGATCTGATGGAGGAGAAGGAGACAACATGGTGATATTGGAGATAGAATAGGAGACAGCAGGCTGTGGTGTGCAAGGATAAGAGTGGGAAAAGCAGAAAGTAGATGAAATGAATTTGCACATAAGCCAGCTCTGGGTGAAACTGTGATAACGGTGTGAAGGGGAAGTGGGTAAGTCCTCCACCATGCACTCCTATGGCCTTGAAAGATCAGCTACCTACCTCAAGAACAATGTGAACTTTACCCTAAGGATGATATTCCATTGGGAATATTTAAAAGTCAAAGGGTGGCATGGCAGAAGTGGTTTGGGGAAGATAAGGCTACTGAGGAAAGTGGTCCAGGAATTTAGAGTGGTGGATATTTAATCTAGATGTTTGTGGATCTTGTCGTAAAAGTGGCTAAAGGTCTCTTCTGAAGAGGAGGTACACTATTTCAGGGAGGCAGAAAGACCAGTCACCACCAAGAAACCTGGGTGTGAAGAGAGTTACTCGAAAGGTGTTACAGAAATGCAGGGGTGTGTGTGAGTGTGTGTGTGTGTGTGTGTGTGTGTGTGTGTGTGTGTGTGTGTGTGTGTGTGTGTGTATGAAGTGCTGACCCCCAACAGGTATTCTTTCTTCATTTCTCCCTGGAAATGTCCCTACCTCTCTGTCTTACATAATGTGCATGTGAGAGGAATTGCAGACTGTGAGAGCTGGAAGAGGTTTGAGATGCCTTTGCTCAAGCTCCTGATTTTAGTCGTGGCAAAAGAACGGCAGAGAAATCTAAGAATTGGTTTCTGCTCAGGCAAAGTCAGACGGCGACTGCTCTCACATCCGTCTTTACTAGCACGTACATCTACGTATGTAGTTTGGTTACACACACCTACTGTTGAGTATAGATCTTTCCTGTGTTTGCTGACAGCAGAGATTTCTTGGGTGAAAACCCTCTAATTTAGAAAATGATCTGTCTTAAACACTTTGCAGCCCATCGTTCAAATTGCACAGACTTCAATAATCTTAGAAACAAAAACGGAGAGAGAGAGGAGCAGTCGTTACATTCCTACAGCGCAGTTGGTTTCAGCCTTGGGTTCTGAACTGGTAGAAGCCCCTTCCTGGGCGAGCCCCTCTTCTCCTCCTCTTGCGAATCCACATCTTGGGAAACCACAGCACGAGGCTTCTCAGGTCCTCACTTCTGCCTCAGGGATGCTCTCAGACTTCTGCTTCACCGAGGATCCTGTGATCCGATTCAATCTAATTAACAGCTGTTTAGGGAGCACTTCTAAGCTTTTGGAAGGCATCAAGCGAGGATCTGGGCGAGGGCGTTCACGGATGAAGACGTCCCAACCCTCTCCTTGAGAAGAAGAAACTGGCGCTTTAATCTAACCCCCTCTATAATTCACATGATTAACGAATTCCCCCCGAGGTTCCTACCAATAGTGCTCCAGATACATCCCCCCAAAGGTCCCCCACGTCTGGAGGTTATTGCCTGGCACCAGTTCTGATGCTGCAAGGAGGTGACGGAGAAAACGCTGCCTGGGAATCTGGCATCAGTGGACTGGGACCAAGCCATACCCAGCAGCTCACCAGCCACTGCTAGGGCATAGTAGCTCCTGGGTCTCAGTCCGCTTCCCTTGTGCGCTAACCAGGGCGCGGCAGGCTTGCCTCCAAGTTTCCCAGGACACTCTCCTTTCCTGATGGCCAGTGTTCGTCCCCAGCGTCCCAAGCCCTGTGGCTCCCCATCCCTGCCTCTCCCTGCTCCATTGCAGTCCATTGCCTGCAGGCAGAGTTCAAGTTCAACCCCGGCTTTTGCTCTGGATTTAGAAAAAGGAGAGGGGGTGGGAGAATTGGAGGGAGCCGGCTAGTCGGGCGAGGCCAAGGGGAGGCGGAGAGAGGTGGCCTCTGATTGGTTGGGGAGGGGGAGTGGAGGCACGGAGTTTCCCACAATGCCCCGGTGCGGTGCAGCCGCGGATGGATGCTGCGGGAAGGGGCTGCCATTTGCTGCCCCTGCCAGCGGCGCGCGGACCTGCCCGCGCTCCCGCTGCCTCCAGCGCCCTCAGCCCGCCCGGCCTTTGCAGCCGCACCGCCTCGGCTTCCTCCGCGGCCGCCGGAGCGGTCGCCATGAACCCCAGCTCCTCGGCGGGAGAGGAGAAAGGGGCGACGGGCGGCAGCAGCAGCAGCGGAAGCGGCGCCGGGAGCTGCTGCCTAGGCGCCGAGGGCGGCGCGGACCCGCGGGGTGCAGGGGCAGCGGCTGCTGCTGCCCTGGAGGAGCCCGCGGCCGCCGGACAGAAGGAGAAGGAAGAGGCGCTGGAGGAGAAGCTGAGGGACTTAACTTTCCGGAAGCAGGTCTCTTACAGGTAGGCGCGGGAGCCAGCGAGACAGGTGCCGCCCAGGGCGGGGGACACTTGCTCTAGCTCCAGAGAGGTACTTCTGTGGAGTTAGGACGCTCCCTCTCAGTATCTCCGTCTCTTTCTCTCTCCTCAACTCTCTCTGTGTCTCTGCCTCTCCCCCTTCCTTTTTCTGTCTCTGAATCTCTGTCTGTCTCTCCCCTCCTTCCCTCTCCTGGGGATATGTGTTGTTCTCTACTCATCCTTTAATTCTGGGCCGGAGGGAAGAAGCGGGATGCCCCCAGCTTGTCCCTGCAACACCAGGGAGGAGTGCATTCCTAACAGGAGAGAACGCTAAGGTCAGAACAAGATCAAAACCGCATCTGTGAGTGTATGGGTAGTGGGTGCAGACCCAGACATGCCCAGTTTAGAGAAAAGTCGTCAAAGTTGCCCCTAGGCTGGTGTCATTTCCAGCACTCCCCATGCCTTTCAGAGTTCCCTGGTGAGCCTTGGGCACTAACTGGATAGCTGAGATCTGTTCTGACAGGCAGGAAAGAACAACCCTATGCAGAAGAGAAATCCTTAAGGAAGTTCTTGTCTTGAAATCTCCTGTTAAGGACCAGGGAGATATGGGTCTCTATTTGGAGGTCTGTCAGTAGGTGTTGGGATTACGTGCACGTGTGTTCTCTCCCTCTTTCAGTGTGCCCAGCAGATGATGTGGGCAGCCTACTCCCAAGCTATGGGTGAGGGTGAGAAGAGACCGTACTGGCACCTGAGGATGGATGTCAGTGGAGGATGAATGTCCACCCAATTACATTTAAAGAAGCCCAGGATGTGTCAGAGTTTGAACCAAAGTGAGGACTAAATGGGTTCCCTACACTCCTCTCCCATTCCCAAACAAGAGAGAAGGTGCCCAGACCACCTTCAGTGGTGGGTTAAAAAAAAAGTTTAGGCAATAACCAAGCAGAGATTTACGAAGGCTTGTACTTGCTGGTTCTCAGAGTAATACTTGAAAAGGGGTCGGTGAAAGCATCTTGGTAGCCTTCTTCCTCTTGGGGTTAGCAGTCCCTTTTAGAAAAACCATCCAAAGTATTAAGCCTGTCACACCATGTGCTGTTATGTAAGCAAAAGCAGATGACAGAGGTGTGTGGGTTGCGAGGGTGTGCTCTGTTTATGGGGGCAGGTGTGTGAATCATTGGGATCCCCACAGGCATTGCCTGGACCGGAGGCCCTGTCACCAGGGCATGTGCTCTGTGTCTCCTTGCCGGCTTCTGCTGTTTCCTAAATGGTCTTTAGCCAGGTGGTTGCTGCTGCACCCATCGCTTGCATTTTCTTCTCCACAAAGAGGGGGTTTCCCACCTGAGCTGTTCTCTTAGTTACTCACACAGATCAGATCCAAATGGAGCTTTCTTTTTATATTTTCGGTTTCTAAAAATAGGCAGGTGGTGGGGAGTGGGGTAGCTCTAGGGAGGTATGCTAGGACACAGGCAGTTCTACTTCTGATGGTCTGTCTGGCTCTTAGGGGAACAGGGACTCTATTCAGCCTAATTTAGGAGCTGGAAGTTGCGGGGGGTGGTGGTGGTGGTGTTATTATGTGAAGTACATTGTGGGTCTGGGCTTCTGGGCTAAGAGAGGCTCCTGGGTCATTGGTATTCATGAGACTCCTTATTGGGTAGGGCTGTGAAGCCAGAATTTGCAAGGGAAATCTCTTCAGCTTGCCTCTTGGCAGGGGTCATTCTCTGAGCCTCTCTCCTGGAAAAGCATACTGTTGGGACTGCAGCTCTCTGGCTGGCATGTTCCCACAGGCACGTGGACGTGTGTACACACACAAACACAGCCGTGCAAACAGCAGCAAGAGAGGAATAGCACATGATACTGGCCTGTCTTGAACCCCACAGTGGTGGGTTTTATTTCTTGGATGCGATTTCTTTTTAAATAAAGCCTCACCGATTCCAAGGTAGTGACACTTGGCACACAAAGCACCTCAGGTGGCTGTCCCAAGGTGTACAGCCTCCACTCTCTGTGGGTGAGGACGGTTATCACACTCCTTATGTGATGCTTACACATCACTGCCTGTGAGTTGCTGTCTCAAAGGCTCAACAATTGACCCTTGAACCCATAAACTGCCCAGCCAAACCAAGCCAGATAGTCTCAAAGGCAAGAAGGGCAGTGAGTAGTGATCTCACCTGGCATGTGTTTATCCTGAGTAAGCTCTGTATTTTGGTCACTGCTATTTATTTATTTTTTAGAGTCAGAACTAATAATGGTCTACCTGTTTGCCATGGTGGCCTTTTGTGCTGAACTCAGAGATGGGGCTGGATCTGAGGGTTCTGACAAAAGGCGGATGAGGGATTTGTAAGCAAGGAGCAATTTGGTCTGGAGTTGGGTGTTGGCTCCTCAGGGTGTACCCCACTGCCTCCATCTGATCCTGAGGATTCTGGGTGCAGCTTAGGATGGGGACTGGTGGGAGTTCATGGAGAAGAGTCAGGACGGCCCTGGGGCATAGAGTCTATGCAGAAGTGTGTATCTGAGTAGGAGGTACAGCTTCCATGTAAGGGGATCATTTGAGGTGGTGACGTGGAGATTCTTGAGCAGGTGGAAATGTCTTGAAGAACATGAATATTTGTAGAGTGAAAGTTGGTGTGAGAGAAGGGGGCTTTGGAGGAGTGTGTGTGTGTGTGTGTGTGTGTGTGTGTGTGTGTGTGTATGTGTGTGTAGGGAGGGTCTCATCTGTTCCTCTTGTTGCTAAGGAACATATAAGCTAGAGTTTAAAAATAAATGGAGAGTGGGTGGGCATATGCAGTGACTCCTGTCTTTTTAGGAACCAGAGCCCTTTACAAAAAGCCTTTAAATAACCGTTTCTGGAGGCAGGCAGATTATTCATTTTGCTGACTTTTACTTTGTTAAGTAAAATAAACTCCTTTATATACCCTTAGACTTCCCCTCATTATCTTTTCTTTGTTGGCTGTTCTTTTTGGGGGGATGATTTTTCCTAAGAGAATTTTTCCTTTATTTCTGCACCCCAAGAGCAAATAGTCCCCGTAGTCTGTAGAGCTAAAGGTTTTAGCAGGCAATGCAAGTGATCTGGCACTTTTCTGTTAAAATTACTACTTCCTTTTTCTTCGCAAATTATGGTGCTGCAACAGATACATATGTGTAAATGACTGTGTAATATGGAGGAATGCTTTTTTAAAACTGCTGTAAGTATTTTAAGTCAGTAAAATGAAAAGGGGGAAAAACCCAGAAAGACACAGAGAAGGAGAGGGAGAGAGAGAGAAGGTAGTTGGTATTTTTTGTGTTCTGTTTGTCAGGCACTGTGGGAAGTATTATAGCATATTGTATCTTTTTTATGTGCATGTGTGTATACGTGTGTGTAAGCATGGGTGTGGGTACATGTGTGTAGATGTGCATGTACATGCTAATGTGTGTGGGTACATGTGTGTGCGCACATGTGTGCGTGCGCTCACATGGAGGGCTGAAGTTGACATTGTCTTTTTAAAATTTCTCTTCACTTTATTTATTGAGGCATGGTCTCTCACTCAACTTGGAGCTGTCTGATTCTGACTAGTCTAGCTCACTAGCTTGCTCCGGGAATAGATGCCCTGTCTCTGACTCTCAAGCTCTGAGATTACAGACGGCCACCACACCAGCTCAGTTTCTAAGTAGATCTCGGATCTGAACTCTGCTCCCCATGCTGGCCGGACCAGAGCTTTATCTCCCGAGCCTTCTCCCCAGACTTGTATATTGAGTCTTATCTGAGCTTCAGGGTGGCCCTGTGATATGACTGGACTATTTCTGTCTTGTAGAAAAGGAACCTGAGGCATGGGCCTTGGGCTGGAGGCAGATCTGACTCTAAAGGACTTTCTCTTTAGACTGCATCTTTCTGTTTGCTTCAAGTGTCTGTGTTAGGTTTGAATGTGTGTATACGTGGATGAGTGTGTGTGTGTGTGTGTGTGTGTGTGTGTGTGTGTGTGTGTGTGTGCTGACTTTTCACCTCACCCACAAGATGCTGGAGGTCTCCCTGCTCTCTCTCTCTCTCTCTCTCTCTCTCTCTCTCTCTCTCTCTCTCTCTCTCTCTCTCTCTCTCTCTTAAATTGTGACAGTGTCTCTCTGCATAGCTCTGGCTATCCTGGAACTCACTCTGTAGACCAGGCTGGTCTCAAAATCACAGAGGTCCACCTGCCTCTGCCTCCTGAGTGCTGGAGTTAAAGGCGTGTGCTCTCCCTTCTCCTCCTTGTATGTTTCTTTCTTTGGGCTGAAGCTCTTTGCCTTTGTCTCTATGGCTAGTGCCTTCAGACACCCTCTACTATTTCAGAATTGGAAATGAATATAAATTCATGATTCTCAGCAAATTGTTTGGTTTTGCTTCTGAGAACAAAACCACCTCCGAGACACCTGTTATCTCCACCAAGACACCCATGTTACAAGTTTATGCACTTTTAAAATAATTCCTACAGGTGCTGTGTAGGTGCAGCGGGGCTTGTTGCAAAGCTGCTGCCTTTCCTCTTTGGGCAACACACGGTGAAGGAGAAAGTACAGGCTTGCTTGTAAGGAGGCCCTGGTAGTTACCAGTGTTTATGCACAGGCTTCAGTTTCTTCACTTGAAAGCCTTGGTGGTCACACTTGACCTTTCTCACAGGAAGTTTCTAGTGTAATATAGAAGCAATGGCAAGGAACATGAAACTTCTTAGAGTAGACAGCTGGTGGGAAGGGGGCTCTCAGTCCTTGACTGTGTGGACAACAACAGAGTAGAGTTGTCCCTTGGAGGTTGTGGGGGATTAGTTCCAGGACTACTGTGCAGACATGAACATCTGCAGACACTCAAGCCCCTTCGGTAGAATAGCATCACATTCACATATAACCCATTTGCACCTTTTCATAAACCTTAAATCATCTCCATTACTTAAAATACCCAATACAATGTTAATGCGATCTAAATAGTTGTCAGATACTATTATAAAAAGAGTAATGACCATATGGCATGTTCAGTCCAGAAACAATGAGTTTTCTTTTCTTTTTTTTCCGAATAT